TGTGTGACCTCATGCTGTTATAAAAGAGCTTTGAGAAGCTTAAGAAGAGGATAAGGAGTCGAGGGAGAGGGCTGTTTTCCTTGTGAGCCATGTTATCCCAGAGCAGACTGTATTGCACTGGACTGGGGGCAATTTTAGGGAGAAGGGAATTATAAGTGACAAGGGGAGAGTTTGCATGTATCAGGTTTAAGCCCTAGCTCAGGTTCTCTCTTGAGGTAGCCTTCTTCTGTACGTGGGGTGAAACACTGGCAGGAAAAGTAGCTGATGTGTTACAAATTGCACGTGTTGAAAAAGTTAGGGCGATGCAGTGTGTAAAATGCCCTGTGGATTCATGTCCATTACATTCAGAGGCTGCACTTCTTCTGACTTGTGTCTTCGATATATAATAGAACCCTCATTTGTATTAAATACAGTGAAAATGGTGGATTTTTTGTAGAAGTCATAACCATAGCATCATATTCAGAGCAGGAGGAAGAGAAAATCCTATTAAATTGTTACACTTTATGCTCGAGATATACTCCCTATTCCTGAGTTTACTCTATACCTAGTAAATTTATTTAAACAGTAGTGCTTATTTAAAAAAAGAAAAAAGTAATTAATACTGAAATGGCTTGTCTGTTTTAATACACTACTCTATTTCTGTTTAATGTAATTACTGTATTTAATCTTAGAAGGAGCTAATGCATGCCATGTGACAAATTTGTTCATTGCTCGGTGTCATGCAGAAAGCAAAAGAAGAAGTCAAGCAGTAATATGGGTCCCTTGGGGAAATTCTGTGGCTTCACTGAAAATGCAAAGCATGTAAAATAGCAACATAAAAATTATGAAGTGCTCCATATGACTACCGAGGCCCTTAAAGTTCCCTATTACACTCTGAGACAAATGCAGAGAGTGATTTCATGCTTATTTTAGTTTTATTGTAACTCCTTGGTCTAATTTGGAATCAATTCTTGCTCTGTTAGACAATAAAAGTAAAAGCCAAGAACAAATATTGTTGCACAGAGTAATTTCCCTGTTGCTGCTGATCAGACCTCTTCTTCCATTACCTCTGAGAGAATCGATACTCTACCCTAGAAACAAATTATGTAGGCAAGCACACGTATAGCTGTTGATGTCAGGCAAATAATTGTCGTTGCAGTGGAGACAAAGCTTTAAGGTTTGTTTCGAAAGTTAGTAGAGGATTTTTATGCTACTTCAGATTTGAAAAAATATAATTTGAGCTGGGAAAATAATCGCAACTGTGGCAGAAATAAGTCAGAGGTTGACAAAGCTCACTGGTTTCTCTGTAAGATCAGTTGGACGTATGTAGAACTGCTTGCTGTCATCGAGTTTTTTAAATAAACTTGCATAGAAAGGGTTTTGGTTTTTTTTTACTTGTGCTCTCCACGCAGCTTCATTTATTTTACTGAAATAAATCTGGGCCATAGCAGAGAGGACCACTTCTACTGGGAAATCTCATCTAGCCCATCAGGGGGTTGTTCTCTCAAAAACGGGAGTAGAACTGTGGTTTTAAATACCTGTTGGATCTTTCTAATTCCAAGCATGTAACATGCATGACTTCTGCCTCAATACATTTACCCCCAGTTCTTGGGAATGCTCGTGTCTGTACAGCTCTCCAGATGCACGGCTAAATGCCGCGTGGGTGACGGGGGCCCAGCGAGAGCTTTTCTCCTTTATAGACCATCTAATAGAGAAGATTGCTTCTGTTATTTATTATTGTAATATTTCATTTCTATCTCACCAGTCTGTGTCATATATAAAAGCTACGAGTAACAGCGTTTTTTAGCAGATAACTCCCATCATGTATTATACTGATAACCTTCACACGTCAGATAATTTAGAAAACAGCTTGAAATTTATGGCACTGCTTGTAACTAAAAGTGACTGATGGCAATATATATATTTAATAACGACACGATTTTCTCAGCACTATGAACTAACAGAAAAGTGTTGGGTGGAACGATTTGCCCTCGGTTATACATCATAAATCCCCAAACTGCACAGTGCATCGTCTGCTTGTGTTTGGAGAAGGTGCAGAGTGCTCCTTGCTGTGTAACCGTCAGCCTGGAGATGCTGCTTGCTTTCCAGCAACTACATGTAATGTGTGCCAGCTCCTTCCTGCTTATACTCTTGTTAAAATGTAAAGCAACAAATTTCCTGGCAGCCTCTGCAAAGCGGTGTAATAGAGCTATCATTAGGAGAAGGTGATGAACATAATGGGAGTTCTTAGCAGTGGCAGTAAGCGAAGCAAAGCTATTAACATCTTTCCATAACAAGTAACGACTGAAAGGTTACTTCTCAGCTTTATTACTAAAAATGTTGTGGTATTTTAAGCAGGTAATATTTTGTTTTCACTTGCCTGTGATTTTCCTTATTATGAACTCTCGAGTTACGTATTGCTTATTGAAATTAAAACTTTGACATTACTAAAATGTGCCCTATTGGCTGAATTGGAAAAATGAAAATTTAGATGTGGGATTGTATGTATGATTCCTGCTAACAAGGGATCTTAGCCCAGTGTTGTTCATTTGCCATTGAATTTATCATTCACCAAGACTTGCTTATCTCTTTTTTTATGTCAAAGTACGTGGTTTTCATTTGAATATTCTCAAAACATGGGACAGTCATACTTTTGAGCTGCTTACTAAATAACTGAGCTCTGTGGAGAAGGGTAACACACAGCATGTACAAATAGGAAATCCAGGAGAAGGAATGGAGGCTTTTGGTGGTGAGGTGTGAGCGCCGAGCCATTAGCAGAGGGTTGAATAGGGAGGGTTAGAAAGTTCTTCTATATGAAGCTTTAATTAGTGATTGTGTTTGGAGTGTAGTTTGAAGCCCAGTAGGTCGAATGTTGTGTGGCTTGCCTGTGTTGACAGCTGAGTTGGAGTTTTCATTGTGATGTGATTGGCAGAGTTTTTGTGGAAGCCAGAGGCTGCCGTTCAGAGCCATAGGATGGGATGGCAGCAGTGAGTGACAGTGTTTCTCCTACATGTCCTAACACTTATTACATATCAGTATTAAAAGCAATGACAACACTGCCTGTGTTTCTGAGTAAAGGCAGAGCTGGGCTCGCCAGCCTAAGACCTCAGCTGGTAAGAAAACGTCAGTAGTGCAGCTCAGTTCCAGAGGTATTTTTCCATTCCTTTGCAAAGATGATCTTGTATTTTTTCCAAATAGATGATCACTGCTCACAGAAGAAATTATTTAACATTTTTATTTTCTGAAGGATGTAACAGGATTAGTTTTCTTCATGCGATTTGTTCCTGCAAACACAAATCAAGCTATTGTCTTCAAGAGTGCAAAGTTTGGAACCAAAAGTATAATTTGGAAGTGAAACATTTTTCAGCTGCAAGTAATATTAATAGTAATTGCCACTTAGTGGTCTTTCATTTGGTGGAAACAAACTATCAAAATGATAATTGTAGGATTCATTGGGATATAGATTGATTAACAAAGTAGACAAGCAAGTGGGCAGTGAGCATTGAGCCAGAACTGTGGCTCTTATGAAGTCGGCTTAGATGAAACCAGGGGAGCAAAGCCCATTTTGCAGCATTTGTCCAAAGAATAAACATATGCCATGTCAGAAATAGAACAGTTGGAGACGATTGCTGCATGGGCCACTGCTGAGAAATAGCTGAAGAAAAATGCGAGGGTGATTAGACTTCTTTGGAGCCAGCCAATGGCCTGAAGGTTGCACAGGAGGCTGGGATGGCACTGTGGTGGCACAAGGGGTTGTACACTGCAGTGACACCAAATGCACCTGATAGCATCTTTCCCACTTCTCTTCATTGGGTGAAAGAACTCCATGCACGTTATGAAGGGGAAGGAAAAGTGAGATTCCACATGAAATCAGCTGTCTTGAAAAACTGTGAGACTGTAGCTTGGTTTCCAGTGAAATTGGAAATGCGCTGCTTGCAATTCTAAGTCTAAGAAATCCATTTGATATTTTTAAAACTCTCCTTTACGATGTTGTACATTATTTACTGGAAACAGTCTGAAGTGCTCAGGTAACACAGTGTATTATCTGCAAAGAAATTGTGTATTACTTCGGACTTTTCATTATAACCTTCTGACTCATTGCAAAACCACCTGATAGTGCAGTGTTTGCATCAGGATGTTCCAAATCTCAACTCTAGATTTTTCAGTTCTGCTGAAATGTGGACTGATGATGATGTACCAGAACCAAGATTAAAACAAAAAGAGAACCTCTGTGAGGGTGAAAAGCTACAGTGCCTGTTAGTGAAACAAAGCTCGCTCAAGCAAATTGTTCATATGTGCTTTTGGGGATGTGTGTGACCTCTGCTGTGTGACAGCCTATAGGCTCTGTCACATTATATAATTAGATTAGAATAAGCTTTCCTTATATGAAGAAAGTTCTTTCAGATCATTCATAAATTTCTAAATGGGAATTATTCTGTAAGCAGAAGCTAATTTTCTTTTCCCGTTATCTCCTGCCACTCTGTGATATGAGAACACTTTGTTCTCCATGAGAGTCTTCACTTAGAGCTTTGGTTTCTCTCAGACATAATTAACTAGCAAAGACACTGGGTTTTCTTAGACATCTTCATCAAAGCATGCAGGAAAACAGATCCCATGCCCAGGGCTGGCTTTCCTTCCAGTTTAACATACCTCATTTATGGCTGCTGTTCTTGCCTGAACACAGAGTGAGTTCCAGCTACAATATGGTTGGGTTCAGGAAAAGCGACTTCACAGTGTCGTTCATTCCTCACTAAACTTTCACACTGTGGGATGTCTTAATCATTGAAAAATTGTCTTTTGATTTTTAAATGTTTTTATTTCCTCAGTAATTGCATAGTTTACTTGATATCTGCCTTTCTTGTGTGTCTGTGTCTAGCATTAGGCTCTACTTTCTTTGAATGACTTACAGGTGAGATGTTTCCCTCCAAGTGTTATCTTATTTCCTGCATAACTACGTTTGTATCAACAAGAGGAAATTAAACTCATGCCTCTGTAACTGTTGTTTTCCATTTTCTTACCAGTTTGCTGTTTTGTGGTTCATAAGAGATGCCATGAGTTCGTTACCTTCTCTTGTCCTGGAGCTGACAAGGGACCTGACACTGATGTAAGTACATTGCCATTTGATACGCTGTTCTTCTAAGTATTCTTATGTTGTGGCATTCAACTGTGAGAAGATATTACAAACAACATCAATAGGTTCTAAAGGTTGATGTTTATAGTCCTCATTCTGAAGTGAATATTGAAGATTTATGGACTTTAGAGAGCTGGTTTTTTTAAAAAGAAAGTTAACAATGGATGAATGTATGACCAAGATCAATATTCCTCAGAATGTGACAACAGAATGTGAGGTGTTTACCCAAGCATGAAGCATGAAGTCAGCATTTTATTTTTGTTTGCTTTGTTTTGTATGCATTTAATACTAACAACGCCCATGAAAGGCTGAGGGTTTTTCTGAGCTTGTTTGTGTACCCAACATATCTCAAGGTATAACTTCAGAGTTGACTCTGCTCCTCCTCCTCTGTACACACAAGGATCTGCAGCTCTAAGTACGTGCCATGGATGAGACAGATGATGATCCAACTTAATCTTGAGCCAGCAGGCTTATCTGAAATAGGTTATCTGAAACTTATATTATTATATTCATGCTTGAGCTGGTCAGGACACCCGTCAGGATACACCCTTTCCGTCTTCCCTGTCAATACATGCATCTACAAGCAGCATTTTTGGTCAACAATCAAACTTTCAACACATCTGCCTATATGGTGAGACGTATCTACAAGAATTTTGTGTCACCCCAGTGAAACAATAAACTGTTTGTTCACATAAAAATAACATTTATTTGGGATTTCTAAATTCCACTTTACAGTGAAGTAATTTAACATCTGCTTATGGGAACAATGCATTCCAAGTGTTCTTTGTCTAAATGGCTCTGTTTTGTCTCTTGTAACGTATTCATGCTCTAGATTGTAGGCTATTATCTCCTCTGATGAAACACACCAGAAGACTTTTCTTACTAAGTTTTAATGAGCTCATCATGAATGGTTTTAATATGCTAGACATGAGATCAGTGAATAATGAGCAGAAGCTGCAAGGGGTTTTGGAAAGTTTTCTTATTTTTTAGCTGAAGTTCAGGGCTTAAGTACAGTAGCTGAAGTTTCAGTCTGAAACTGAAAAGTATTTTAAAGACAGTTTGTTTGTTAAACATTTCACATAATGCAAATTTAGGCAGATAAGACATGCTTATCATTGTGGCAGCAGGCTGAGGTTGCTGGCAGAAACACTGCTGCCCTCAGCACCCACTTCTTCTCTTTGTAACCTTCCCGTGCCCTCTTTCCACTCTCTGAGATCCTGAGCCGCTCATCAATTTGCTGGTGTAACCCAGAGATATTGCCTCCTTCAAAAGCAGATGCGTGCACTAACTTCACAGCAGCATGACGCATTGGAGCAATGGGTCAGGCTGGCAGTTAAGCTTGGACAATTTCTGTGGACCATTTTTTATCTGTTGCTCAGCTCTCAGCATTTATTATATTCAGTTTATAAAGTTAGAGGAATAGCTTCAGTCCTGAACCCTTCATACGTGGTAGATGAGCGAGAAGCAGTGAAGCACTCCATGTTTGCACTACAGACTGTTTCTTTCATGTAAGATGCTGCTTGTTTTACTGTTCTACCCTTAATGACAGGTCCACAAGCACATCCTAAACTTTGGAATATGATGTCACAAAATAGATATGCTAAATTGAAGTGTTGAAAACAAATGGTGAAATGTTGAAGTGATTACCACAGGATCTTTGTTTAGGAGTTCCAAATGCATATATATTTTTAAGACATCATGTATTTCTTCATAGCTTCTATTATTACTACTTTGGCAATAGTGGAAGAAGCTCAACAATGCTCTAAATATCACTGCTAAAAATATCTTCCTATATTTTGCTCAGGTGAGGAAATTTCCACTTTTTTGCAGTAAGACATTGCTTTGGAAATGTGCGGGGTTTTTTTCTTTGTCAAGTGATAGACATTTATTATGAGTTTTTGTGTCACAAAACTCTGTGTGATGTTCCTAGTAAGAGCAGCAAGGAGCCAGCAGGTCAGGATCAAAGGACAGTGTGGGCTGCTAACGAACTGCTTGGAATATGCTCTGCACTTCCGAGGGAGAATTATTCTGCTTCCAGTAACAGTTATAAACTGTCTTGCACGGCACTGCTCACATAAATCAAGCAATTCTCACAAACGCTTCACTGGAATAATTATCAGTACCATTTATTTCACTTGATAAAGAGAACCTGAAGTCTGGCAGCCACAGAGACACCTCTCAACCAGGGGCTGCAGAATGTCAATGTATGGAACATTTCCCACTGTGATACAAGAGTGCTTTTTGCAGCCAAAGGAGGCAGTGCTTGCAGGTGTGTTTCCACACATCCCACTGGGGTCTGGGTATCTAGGACACGATGTAAGCATTTATTTATAGGTTTGTCTCGAGGCAAGGTAGTATGGCACTTACACTGCATGCCTCGGGGGATGGTGAGGGCTTCTGAGCATCGAAGTTCATTAGTCACTTAGGGAGACTCCAAAGAGGGGAAACCCTTAGTTTTCCTAGTCATCTTTCTGGCTTCCATGGGAGGGTTTTTGTGATTAAAGGACGAGACCTGAGCAGATCTTGAAAATAATGGGTTTTTTTGAATGAGGGAATTAGAACACTTCCATAATAAATCACGTGCCAAGCCATTTCCGATTGCAGAGGAACTGTGAGCAGTTCTGTGGCTGCTGCAGTGCCCTGCGAGGAGAGGAAGCTCCTCACTCTCAGTCATTTCCCTAAACAGATTGAACAGCTGCAGCAAAACTTAGTTTAATATCAGGCAATTCAGAAAACAAAAAGCGTTTTCACACCTTCGCCGACCTTTTCTTATTTCCTAGCCCTTCTTAAGCTCCATGTAGCTGCATGTTTTGTAGTAAACTTTGACTGTGTGGCTGTATAGAAGTCCTGTGACCTGCATCACGCTAAAATAGTGGTGTGCAAATATTGTCTCCATGTGTAACATTATTATTTGCTGCAGTACTCCACTGCTGTAACAGAGAAAATAAGTTATTATTATTTATCTATTATTTTTTATTATTTTTTATTATCACTTTTGAATGCCTTAGCAAAGAGGTATGCAGGAGATAGGGAAGCCTAAAATCACCCTCTTTTTCTGCTTTATTCAGGTTGAAACATCGGGTTGCAGGATCTGGTTTTGTGCCAAAAAGAAATATTAGTGATGAATAAAGTGGTCACCTTGATGGCTGCTGCTGGAATGATGGTGTCTGGGGAACAAAACTGCATTTCAGTTGAAACAACAAGAATTCAGGCAATCCAAAATCGTTGTGTTTCTGTAGTACACTGACTGTTTAAAATATTATTTAAATAGATTCAGCCCCACTCCCTGGAGGTGTTCAAGAGCAGGTTGGATGGAGCCCTGGGCAGCCTGGTCTAGTACCAGATCTGGAGGTTGGTGGCCCTGGATCCTTGGGATTCCTTCCAACACAAGCCATTCTATGATTCTGTGATTCTATGATTAACTTTTTAAACGAGCCTTTAAAACAACGTGGATTGCACAGGAACTCAGACATCACAGTCTCTGCATGGGCACTGCTCTGCTTTCAGACTTGGAAGGTTTATAACCTAAATAAATAAATAAATAGAAATTGAAAAGTAAAAAAAAAAGGGGTGGGAGGCAAACAACTGTGTGGTCAAGGGAGATTGAATCTGACCTTCCTACTCAGAATTGCAGTGAATTCTTAATATTTAAGCACTCAGAATAGAATGAATTGATAAGATTTTGATTACACAAAATGAAACAGCAAAGCCATCCCATTTCATTTGCCAGGGTGTCTGACCTTGTGTCTGCTGAAGGTGACATATATGGGAAAGATGGTAGAGTGGATAAGCCTCTTGATATTGAAATGATTTGTGAGATTTATTGTATTAAGCACATTTGGGGAAAAAAAAAAAAAAAAAAAGCATTCTAAATTTGCACTGAGGTTGCATGGGATGCTGCAGTAGCTGAATATTTTCCATAGTGGCTTGGACAATTCAATGAAATGAGAAAAATAATTATTGAGAAGGGAAAGAAGCAGTGAGAGCTGATGGTGAAGGTGCCAGCAGGAGAACAGGAGCCAGGCTCCTGCTGGGGCACGGTGTGGGCGCTGGCCAGCAGTGCGCACCAGCACGGAGGTGACGAGTGCTGAGGAAGGATAAGTTGCAAGGGATTGTTCTGATTTTTGGTGAGATGCATTGTATAGAACTGTGCAGCTGTACTGGAGGGGGATTTAGAAAGGAATGGAAATGCTAATGGTCTTTGACTGCTTTCCATGACTGTTAAGTTCTAAGCAGGGATCATATGGGCTGGAGTTTGGCACTGGGCTTGGAACAGTGCTCCTGGCATCTCCTGGTTGGCTTTGCTGGCTTTATATATGCCTTTATATCTGCAGGAAGCATGCATATATATTCATGCTAGCAGGCAGGTTTCAGAATATTTCCAGAGTTGGGTTTGGGGTTTCTTTGGAAATATTTTCAGATTTCAGAGTGAAAGAAGATGGTTGCTTTACCGGTCTTTACTGGGAATTCAAAACAGAACAAAATAGAATGACAACAAAAAAGCAGCTGGAAGCTCAGCATTAAGACTTACCCAAGAACCCAGTTCAAAAGGGATTTTAATCAGAAAGCTCTGCAGCCCTTCTCCCAGGGATAATGAAAAGTGCTTTGCCTTTAACCATTCAGTTGTTGGACATCGTGAGGGACACAAGCAGCAAACACACATCACTGGTTAATATTATAGACAACAAGATTTTTGTTCTCACTGATCTGAGTTTTGGGTGATAGGCAATCCTATACCAGAAATATTTTCTTGGTAATTAAAATAAAAATCTGCTCACTTTAGCACAGAAGATACACAAAGGCAGGCGAGTCTGGCAAACAGCAAAGTTTCCTGCCTGCCAGAATAGCAAAAATATACTCCTAAAGGCAAGCTCTTGTTAATGATGAAACTCTGAAGCAGGTCTGATGCAATAATTTTTTAAATCTTTCATTGTACACTCAAAAAAAAGAAAATATAGAAACTCCTTTAAAAT